AGATTCTGATAATAAAATTGGTTTGTTGCGCGGTGCTGTTGTAAAACAGCATTTTGCTTTTATGTGTTTCCACCCCCGACAATGCACCTAAATTTTAAGAAGAAAAATTATTATTTTTTTGCTAAAAACATACCGTATTTCATACGTATAGCCAATATATAAAAATGTATTTTATGTTCACATATAAACACAAAACAAAACTAATTTTATGTAGATTGTTACAGAGCTCCTTTACTCAGGCTGAGTACCCCCATTAAGTCAGCTTCCTCATTGCTACCAGGGGACTTTGAAACATTTAAGACCTAGTCGCTGAAGCTTGACTGGGGTCTTACTCTCTCCTTCCAGTATGATATTGTCCACTCTGTCTCTTCTTTCCTCCTCCCCCCCCCCCAGACAGGACCTTGCCCCAGACAGGTATGGACAGCTCTACCTGAGCTCTCTCTATAACAACACTTGCAGCTCTCAGGCCGAGCTCTTTCCTAACATGTTCCCGGGATTAGTACAACCAGCAAGCAGACCGAAAACTCTGTTACTATAAACTCTGAACAAACAAGACAGTACACACAGTTTCCAAATGGTACTGACTTGTCCTTAAACACGTGGTGAAATACAGAAGTAAAGTAATAAGTACTACAAAGTTAAAATAAAAGGCTAATGAACAACATAATATAACATAATATTTATACAAGGGTTAGAGAAGACAAACACTAGTGGGGTGTGACGAGACCAATCTCGCCACATTGCATTGGAGAAGCCTGGTTGCTCGCCTGCTGCCTTTGGACTATGGTCCCCTGTTAAAAGACATCTTTTTTACCTGCAGAAAAGCTTCATTCGTGCTTTTCTGCCTGGGGTTTGGTAGTTTTGGTTGAATGTGTTATACCCCAGATAGGAATCCCATGGAGCCCATTCATATGAAACTGACTGTAAAGACTTTGGCTCCATGGTGATTAAACTGTATTTGTGTGGTCTGAGCGCCATTCACTTAATAATGTGCGCTCAGACCTGAGCTATCTGGGGATATGTGAAATGTCTGTGTGTTTGTGTAATGAATGTGACTTTATGTATTTTAAAGTGTTTTGTGTCTTTTTGCAACCATGTGCTTAATGGAGTCTTGTGTCTGTCCTGGGAGATAATTGAATTACTCTCCAGGATAGAAGACTCAAACTGGTTTGGGCCAGAAAGCCATGCTTCATTTAGTCACAAAGGACTTTTTACTAACTTTTGAACCCCTGGTCTGATTCATGTCATTTTTTAATATGTTGTTCCCCTGAATGGATTGATTGTGAATATGTAATTTTATGTGAATGTGATGTATGGTTTTAGAGTTATGAAAGTTGGGTAGAAAGTATGTTTTAACTGTATGTGTAATTGAGTTTCCTCTCAGGATAAGGGGAGGGAATATGTGGGATGTAACTGTGATGTGATTGGTTGTTTTATACCTCCCTGTGGGCGGTCCTGTATTTGCAAGACTGTAATAAAAACCAGGCTGGGTGTGCCAGCACCTCAGACCACTGCTTGACCCTCAACACGGAGCCTTGTCTCGTTCTTGGGGGGATTCACTGTATGCTGTTAGAGACTGATTGCCAGGAGTGTAAGCTGATTGTCTGCTTTTCCTGTTCGTCTGCTAGCAGCTATTTGGGAGGTTCCAGTTCGGGAGTTGGAGTGCTATTTTGTATCCAGTTCGGGAGTTTGGTGTTCTGCAGTAGCTGTGCCTGTATCTCTGGAAAGGGGGCCGATCGCCTAAACGGTTTTTACCCCTTGTGTGCAAAACGGTCCGTTACAATTGGTGGCAGCGGTGGGATCGTTCCCACAGACTACAGGACAGCTACAGGCAACACCATTCCGTGGATTTACAATTTGAGGGCAACGCATGTCTGAGTACAGCGACCCTGACAGCAACAGCATGGAACCAGCAGTGTCATACGAGGAGGAGGACCTGGATGGCCGGGATGCATTAAGGAAAGGCATCTGGTACCAGGCCCTAGATAATGTACAGTACCAGCGGGGCGAGAGTCTCCCCAGTGAAGAGCAGCGGTTGCAGAAGCAAGTGGCCCTGCGGATGCCCTTCCTGGGAGAGCAGCCCCTAGATGAATGGGTGAAGGAATTGGAGCACCGGGTATGGCAGGAGATTTGGCTGGAAGATGCATACCAGGCGCTCTGGTGGTATGGGGCACAGTACCTGCCCTGGACAGCCGAGCATGACAAGCCAGAGGGAGAGGAGTTTGATGGTCCTGGCTTGTTATGGGAGGCTTTTTCAGAGCCTGAATTTGGGAGCCCTACACAAGCCCGGTTCAGTGATCTCTTGGAGTGGAGGGAGAGCAGGTATGACTGGGACGACACTCACGATATTGAGCAAGACCTGGCTCACCTAGCAACCCTGGAGTGGGAACTGGAGCAGGACTACCGAGATCTCTTCCACTCCATTGAGAAGATTCAGCAGGACAGAAAGGTGACAGATCCAGTTCCAGACCCATTCAGCTGGGAAGACATTGTTGATATTTCCTGGGAAGAACCCCAGGTGGCCGGTAGAGATGGGACCAAGGTCTCGCCACCGGTCTTGCAGGGAATTGGGAGCCCAGTCTCATTTCTCCAGCAGCCGTGTGATTTATTGGGAATTGGGAGCCCAGTCTCCATTCCCCGGCGGCAGTGTAAAGTGCAGGGAGAGGAGAGCAGCGTCCTCCCTCCCCAGCGGCAGGCTGAGTTACAGGGGGCAGAGGTAGTTGTTCCTGCCCTCCAGCAGCAGAGTGATATGCCGGGAAGGCAGTGTGAAGTACAGGGAGAGGAGAGCAGTGTCCTCCCTCCCCAGCGACAGGCTGAGTTACAGGGGACAGAGGTAGTTGTTCCTGCCCCCCAGCAGCCAAGTGATATGCCGGGAAGGCAGTGTGAAGTCCAGGGAGAGGAGAGCAGTGTCCTCCCCCCCCAGCAGCAGCGTGATTTTTGGGGAATTGGGAGCCTAGTCTCCATCCTCCAGCGGCAGTGTTATTTATTGGGATTTGGGAGCCCAGTCTCCATTCCCCAGCGGCAGAGTGTCCAGCAGGGAATAGAGAGCCCAGTCTCCTTTCCCCAGCAGCAGGACACTGTATTGGGAGCGGAGACAGTCGGTCTCCCTCCACAGAGGATGAAAGTATGTATGGGAGAGGAGCTTGCTACCACCTCCCCCCAGCAGCGGATCATTAATGGGCAGGGAATAGAGAGCTCAGTCTCCTTTCCCCAGCGGCAGAGTGTTCTATCGGGAGAGGAGCCTGTTACCCCCTCTCCCCAGCGACAGCTTAGAGCATCCAAAGGGGAGACAGTCGGTCTCCCCCTCCAGCAGCAGAGCTGTGCAACAAAAGGGGAGACAGTCGGTCTCCAGCAGCAGAGCGGTGTAACTAAAGGGGAGACAGTCGGTCTCCAGCAACCAGGCTTCAACCAGACTACTCCTGCGGTAGTACTGGCATCAGGGCAGAGTACCGCTGGTCTCTGCCTACTCAGCAACCCACCAAGGCAGCCTATCAGTCCCCCACACAGCTGTGGTGAGGCCCCTGGACATGGACAAGATTCTCCCCTACTCAGGTGTAGTAACCAGTTATTGTGGGTGGGCTGTACTGCTGTTTCTGTTTTGTGGGTGGGCTGCTGGACTAACAAGGGCACTGACCGGCAGGAGGTCAGATACCCTGTTAGTCTGTTTGGAAAAGGTGAGAGATGTGACGAGACCAATCTCGCCACATTGCATTGGAGAAGCCTGGTTGCTCGCCTGCTGCCTTTGGACTATGATTACACATTTAAAGGAACATCTTTTTACCTGCAGAAAAGCTTCATTCGTGCTTTTCTGCTTACCTGGGGGACTAGTAGTTTGTTTGAATGTGTTTATACCCCAGATGGTAATCCCATGGAGCCCATTCATATGAAACTGACTGTAAGACTTTGGCTCCATGGTGATTAAACTGTATTTGGCTGGTCTGAGGCCATTCATAATAATGTGTGCTCCAGACCTGAGCCTATCTGAGGGATATATTTACATGTCTGTGTTTATGTATAATGAATGTGTGACTTTATGTGTATTTTAAAGGTGTTTTTGTGTCTTTTGCAACCATGTGCCCAATGGAGTCTTGTGTCTGTCCTGGGAGATAATTGAATTACTCTCAGGATAGAACTCTATGAAACTAGTTTGGGCCAGAAAGCCATGCTTCATTTAGTCACAAAGGACTTTTTACTAACTTTTGAACCCCTTGTCTGATTTGTGCCATTTTTTAATATGTTGTTCCCCTGAATGGATTGATTGTGAATGTGTAATTTAATGTGAATGTGATGTATGGTTTTAGAGTTATGAAAGTTGGGTAGAAGTATGTTTTAACTGTATGTATAATTGAGTTTCCTCTCAGGATAAGGGGAGGGAATATGTGGGATGTAACTGATGTGATTGGTTGTTTTATACCTCCCTATGGGCGGTCCTGTATTTGCAAGATTGTAATAAAAACCAGGCTGGGTGTGCCAGCACCTCAGACCACTGCTTGACCCTCAACACAGAGCCTTGTCTCGTTCTTGTGGGGATTCACTGTATGCTGTTAGAGACTGATTGCCAGG